CAAAACTATGAGAAGGCACTTGAAATCAGACGGAAATCTCTTCCTGCAACTCATTCCGATTTGGCTACGAGTTACAACAATATCGGATCGGTGTATTTCAAGATGGGGGAGTACTCACGAGCACTTGAACATTTTGAAAAAGATCTTGAAATCAAGCAAAAATCTCTTCCTGCAACTGATCCCGATTTGGCTACCAGTTACAACAACATGGGATCCGTGTATTCAGAGATGGGACAGTACGCAAGAGCACTTCAAAACTATGAGAAGGCACTTGAAATCAGAAACAAATCTCTTCCTGCAACTCATCCCGACTTGGTCACGAGTTACAACAACATCGGGTTGGTGTATTTCAAGATAGGAGAGTACTCAAGAGTCGTGTCTTCTCATTTGCGAACATAAAATCGAAATTCAAAATCTGTTAAATTCAATTTCAATTGTTTTTTATATTTAATTTGTTCAAATTCAAAATAATCTTAGATCTCGAATTTTCTGTTTTCAAATTTCGAAAAAATTATTGACAACAATTTTAATACAACTTAAACTTTCAATTATATTTTTAAACTTGCTGAAATTTATAGAGTTCGCTAAGGATTGAATTTCATTATTTCAATTTAACTAGTTGTAATTTGCAGAGAGCGCTAAACTGCAATAGTGCTTCTTTTCTTTTTAATTGACTGCAATTTATAGAGTTCGCCAGACATAAGTGTAACGATGAATGCCATCACCTGTTTTTGATTTTGAACAGTCTATACAATTATGATTATAAAATTTAATCAAATATTGAATGGAGACAACTGATTGTGATGCAAAAGCATTTATACATAAAAATCAACAATACAAAAATGATGTTCTAAAATAGACGGCTTAGAAATATAGATGTTGATGAGCGTCTTCTCTTGACGATCACAGCTCGTTCTTGCCACATCACATTCGGAACAAATATCGATTATCACAACAAATTATGATACAATATCCTTAAAAACTCGCTTTGTCTTTAACAAAATCGTTCTCAGTTCAACCCAAATCGACCATCCTTGCTCGTGCATTTTAAGTGTTAGTTTATCAATAACAAAAGAAAAAACAAACCAGCTAGTGCATTCTACTTTTGACTTCAATTAAAATTCTTCGCAGCTAGGTGCAAACGAAAATCGTAATTCAACCAAAACCTAACGTCGTCTACAAATTACAGCAATGGTACTAAATTCAAAAAAAAATTTCTCTGGTCAAAAACTAACGTCCTCTACAAATTGCAGTAAATATCTAAAACTCAAAAACTTTCTGTTATCAAAAACTTGCGTCCTCTACAAATTGCAGTAACTATCTAAAGCTGAAAAAGCTTCTATTGTCAAAAAACTAACGTCCTCTACAAATTGCAGTATGCTTAGTAAAATAAATAGCTTTTTTAAAAATCTTTTAAAACAATTTACTTTCAATATTCGTTCACAGTAATCAAATTTTTAAAAGTTAAATATAAATTTTAATCATTTTACGATAAATTAATAAAGTTATCAAATTTAAATCAAACGAACTTTTAAAAATTTTAATTTACTTAAAATTTATTTTCTTTATGTTTGCAAATGAGAAGTAGCCGTTTTTTTCTGTACCGATTTTGATGTCACATTTCTTTGAACGATCATTTATACTATCTAATTAAAATATAAAGTATTTTATGGGTTGTTGTATAGCTGNAGTTTGGGTACGTTTGGTATTTAATTCATAGTTATGGGTTAAAAGTAAAGTGGGAATGGTATGAGGTCTGGCTTGGGAGCGTTTACTTTGTATACGAACGTGATTAATGATATTAATGTTGATGCTTCGCATGGGATTCAGTACTGGAGATGAATACAATCGTGTTTGGTAGTATTTGTTTACTATATGAGATAGAATCAAACGGTAATTCGGATGTAAGTTATTCATATAGTATGTCGAACTATGTGATGGGATTGGTGAATATCTTGAGAGAAGACCGCTATTTGAAAGAGGAGACTTATTGAAGATTATGAGAAGAAGAAGAGTAGAGGAGACTGAACGTTTATTCTTGCAACAGTTGGCATGTTATTGTTCCCGAGAGTGGAGCATTTGGAGAGATGCAAGAAGTGTTGATTTTTCCGAATGGTACTGATGCCAGTTGTAGGAATCTTCAAAATGATCAGGGTTATTGGCGCGACCGTAAGGGTGACTGGAAGCCCAGTTTGCAATGGCTAGTTTTTCTTTTACCAAAGGTTTGATTGTCTTTTCGTAGTCTGTTATATTCGCCCTTGGACAACCGGATAAATACTACTTTGGCTGAAAAGAAAATTATCGAAAAAGTAATGGAAAAGATGTCGAAGGATAAAAATGTAGAGACTCAAAACTCGAAGCTAACAATCTTGCAGATAGGCATGCTGAAAAAGATGTTGATAGATAAATATGCTGAAGTGTAAAAAGATCAAAAGATAAAAATATCGAATTATTGAAACGTCGAGACATTGCAAATTATTATGTAGTGGATGATAAAGGATTAGATATACGTGGGTCATTCTGAAAGTTTTTAGATTTGCAATACTGGTAGCTTAGTTTGAAAGAATTTGATTATATTTGTTCGAAGTAATGTCCTTGTGCACTAATGCACTTATTCATTCTTTCGAACCACTTTTCATAACATTGGTAGAAATCATCTTTTTGAAGACAGTCTATTTGTGTTCTGACAGCATCATGAAGTTCGTTAACATCCTGGAAGTTTTTACCACGAAGTTGCTATTTAATTTTTGGGAACAGCCAAGAATCACACGGAGTTAGATCTGGTGAATATGCTGGATGGCCCATCAATTTGACGTGTTGAGTATCTAAATATTCCATCGTTAGTGCTACCCTGTGTGCAGGTGCATTGTCATGATGAATAAGAAGACCATTGAGACATCGATGTTTCTCCACTTGTTTGAGCACCTGTGTAAGACATTCATTTGCATACCACTTAGCTGTAACTGTTTTACCATTTTCAAGACGAATGATTGTATTAAAACTGGACTTCATGAAGAAAATTGCAAACATATGTTTACCAACAGAACGTTGTCGACGAACTTTAGTTGGATGAGGATCATTGCTTGCCACCCAAACTTGACTTTGACGCTTCGTTTTTGGATCATAATAGTAGAACGAACTTTAATCACCAGTGATAATATCATACACACGTTTTGACTTGCCGCCGTCGAATTCTTCGAGCATTTGTAGGCAATAGTCAACACGGTCCTGTTTTTGAGCTTCACTTAAAGAATGTGGCACCCAACGACATGTAACTTTTTTTAAACCAAGATAATCATGAAGAATAATTTCCGTTAATGCCGATCCGATCTGTAAAGTGTCTTCTATCTGTTGACATGTGATATGTGGATCAATATTTACCAGTTCACGAACAGCTTCGATGTTTTCTGGAGCGACTGCAGTTCTTGGTCGACCAGCACGAGGTTCATCTTCAAAGTGATCCCTGCCACGACTGAATTCAGCAAACCAATTGTAAACTGTGGCACGAGAAACACAAGAGTCACCAAAGGTTTTGTGCAATGATTCAAGACATTCCTCTTGTGATAATTGTTTTTTGTAATCATAATAAATCATAACTCGAATTTGTTCTCGTGTTAGATCCATGACGATGCAAAAAAAATATGTCAGTAGTGAATCACTTAATCTACAAAACAACCAAAGGAAAAATGTCTAAGAGCTAAAACTTTGTATACTTTCTTCTAAGACTTGGGTGTACTACCACAACTACCAAAGTCTTAGATATCTCTTAATTTAATAAAGAATCTAAAAACTTTCAGAATGACCCACGTATTTGTTTCATTTATAGAACTTATATTGATAAGGAAAAAATGTTTCTTTTTTACANCGGAACTTGAAGGAACCGACTGGATTCCGACAAATAAATCCTATCGGATCTGTCCTTCGGATTTCATCGGAATCCGGTAATCGGAATGCGTCGGAAATTATGGGAATCAATTGTGATCCGATCGGATTCCGACAATCGGAATTCTATCGGATTCAGTCATCGGAATTCATCGGATTGAGACAGATCCGACAGAATCCGATGGCCCACTTTCGACCTGGGTACTTGCTAGATTAATGAAATCTAGTTACTAATAATTCTAATTTAATTTTACGTATGGCTACTATGTAATGTTAACAAATTCTATAATGCCAATACTACAAAAACATTCCGAAATAAAGTTTCAATATAAACGTGATAGCGCAAATATTAAGCATTATATATTAAATCACTAGGTAAACCATATCCAGAATATTAGATATGGATGTTTACATATGTTATAGCGTTTATTGCGGCAGAATTACGAAAACTTTAGTATAAGAATAAATTTTGACCTATCTACCGCAAATATATTTCACGAACAATTATGTATGAAACTATTACATATTGAATTTATTATCTGTCAAAACTATCAAATATTAAACTTACCAAAAATATTGCCCAGTGATATGATTAAAATATATATATAAATTATTGCATTAAAATTTATAAATTGTTGAAATTACTGTGTTAAGAATTGCTACACAAGAAGATTAAATAGTATCCATACCAGCTGCTGAACGCAAGTAGAAACGCTTGAACATATCTACTATCCTGTATCCAGAATACGAGTAGTAAAAAATGATGCATTCAAACTGAAAGATATACAGACAAGAATGTCATGACTCAGAATGTTATATTACAGAAGTACTAGTCTTATAAAAATTAAAATGATAAGTCAAATTGAATGGACATTAAGACAAGAATGCCATGACTCAGAATGTAATGTTATGCAAAATGGTAGTGTTATAAAATTAATTTCAACGATCATATATAATTCATCATCAAAAGTAATGATACACCCACTGTCGCAATATTTTAAACTCTAACGCTTTATTTAAATCCATTTTGAACATTTAAACTCTATTATTTTCCTTAAAAATCTATTATAAGTGTTGATTTTAATCTTTGTTTTTGTTCTTCCCTTTTATAACCGTGCTTTATTGTAATTCAGAGCCCTGAAGAGTGTTCTAATATTATATAAATAAATAAACAACAAACGCGTCGGCGAAATTAATCTCAGCATTAATCTTTAAAGAAATTATTGGAAATTCAAGCACATTTTTAATTTAAATTTACATTATATATCTATTTTCGGCTAATAATCGGTTGCTGAAAAGCAAGAGTTGAGATCAGTAGATTGATTTGTCTTTTCGTTAAAGGATAGATTGATCTGTTTTCGAATTGAATAACTATTTCTTTTATAATGGTCAATATTATCATCAAATTCGAGGAGGAGCTATGGGGTCTCCTCTTACATTAACTATCGCTAATTGTTATATGTATTTCTATGAACGACAAATAGTTAAACAGATTAAAAATATCGGTGGACTTTATTTTCGATATATTGACGATATATTTTTAACAATAAATTGGTCTACTCGTCTTTTATTCAAACAAATCGATAGATGGAATAATTTTGATGAAAATATTAAATGATCTGCTAATATTGGTTTATCAACAAATTTTCTTGATTTATACATGGAAAATAAAGATGGGCGATTGATTATTTACTACTGTATATCAAAAACCATCTTATGAACCATATTACTTGACATTCAATAGCATTCACCCTCTTCATATGAAAAAGAACACACCTTACACAATGTTCTTACGAACAATTAGGTATTGTTCGACATTCGAATCTTACTTAGAAGAACGTGAAAAGCTAAGAATAGCTTTACTATTGAATAAATATCCGAATAAAATAATCAATGAACAATTCGATAATGTTCTACTGAAATCGAATATTGATGAAACCTTAAATACTTATAATTATCAAAAGAATCGCGAGAAAATTATGGCTAGTACCAAAAAAGAAAAATTGCCAATAAACTATAAGAAAATAATATTCGTCCATTTTACTTATTGTTCCACTATGAAATTGCTTCCAAAAAAATTTCATGAATTATGGACAAAATATTTTGAAAATTCTCCGATAAATGAAATAAAACCAATACTTGGTACTAGGAACGTTGATAATCTCCAAAGACATTTTGTTCAAACTAAATTAAAAAATCAATGTATTTCATATATAGTACATGTGCCTTATGGCATATTGTTGAGAAATACTAAGCATGTACTACATAACATATTATTTACAAATATAGTTTATTTCATGAAATATTTGACTTATGACAAATCAAAATACAGCTATTCTATACTAAGGATAAATTTATTCTCCTATAAAAAATTTTATTAAAATCTAAATATTATAAAATCAAAATATGATCGAAGCTGAAATAATTCTAAACTTAATTTGATTAACATAAAAATTAAATACGATTTAATAACAAATACCATTAATTGGGACCTTATCCAATCAAAACGCTATTGAAAACTTTAAATATTATAAAATTGACTCGAATATGATCAAAAACGAAATATCACTAAAATTTCTATAGAACAATATTACCATTGAACTTTATTAAATTAAAATTGTATTAAACAGGAAATCAACAGAAACAATATTTGAACAAAAACAGATATGAAATTATTAACAAGAAATTCCAAATATTCTTTATATATATATATATATATATCAATATACACAATATGAAATTATTAAGTTATATTATTGATATCAAATTTAGTATTTGTGACCTACAAAATTCCTATTTTAACAGCATCAATACTAAAAACAATATAAATTTTAGATTAAATTGTACAATAAACCCATCTATTGAATATAACTCATAGATTAAAAAACTAAATAAAAATTATTATGAACACACATTGTATTCAGAATATTTAATCTAAATAAATAACTGATATTAAATCAGGCATGAATAAATGCTTGTAAAATAAAAAATGTCTATTCAATAAATTTAAAAATTGATAAAACCGTTTGATCTTACTAAATTAGAAAATATCCCTTCGGTTAAATATCTTGCAATGGGAAATTCAAAATCATTTACGATGTCAAATTAAGTTATTATTACTTCAATTAAAATTAAATTAAAATGATCCACAAAAAATCTTATTTGAATTATTCAAAACATAAAATAAAAAACGAAACAAACTAATAATCAATTGACCAAACTTTGATTTAATAGACAAAGTAAATAATAGATGAAGACATTTAAAATTGAAGTAATTACAAAAATTAAATAAAAATATGAAATATTAATTGAATTATTATTAAAATCGCCATTACATGTAAAATGGAATAGTATTAATATTGAAATTATAAGCAGAAAAGCATTAAAACGAAAAAAATTTTTATATTAAAATACTTATCGGAATAGAAATTGAAATATTAGTGAAACTCATATCGTTAAATTGTTAATCACGATGAAATGAAACTAATTTACATTAACTTAATTGCTTTTTAATAAAAATAAAATTGGTTTTGTAGCCTTATAAGAATAAATTAATGAAATTATAACAATCATAAAAAAGCTTAGACAAAAATTTAAAATTTAAAATTGATAACAGCAAATAAAATTGAAACACAAAGTTAAAACTTAAGAGTTTAAATTGTCATAGTATTGGAAATTAAAAAATTATAAATTACAAACAAAAAACCAAATTATCGAGTGAACTACGATATAAATTATCGATAGAGACCAGCCACTCAACACCCCCAATATCTTCGACATACTCATTCACATTTGTCAGCTCAATCAGTTATTTGTCGAAAAATATCTAACCCAATTCGACGAATACCGATGCATAGACAAGCAATCGGATTTCCCTTTTAACGATATTGTCCTAATAATTGTACTTATTTATTGTTTTTAAATTTATTATCCTAATAATTATTTCTAAAAAAATTTTTTTTATCCATCTCATTTTATACTAGCTTTTTCTTTGTAAATGCAGTGCCCTGAGGAGTGTTTGAAATTTTTAAATAAAATAAAGATGAAACGCGTCGGCGAAACTAATTCTGCATTTACTTTTAATTAATTTCGAATTCAAGAAGATATTCTAATTATTAAGCTTTGAAATTTTGAATTTTCGACTATAAAATCGGTTACTGAAAAGTAAAAGTTGAGAATAGCAGATTGATTTGTGTTTTCGTTAAAGCATAGATTGATCTGTTTTCGAATTGATTATAACACACCCTATTATATAAACGCTACGATTAATACAATAAACATATCTATATTTTGGTTAACTCCTATATCGATTATAAATTCTTTGGAGGATTTTATGTTGGAGGTTTTTACTCGTAATTACCTTTGTGCTATCCTTGGTCGGAAATAATCGGGAAGTTTGAGTTCTCCAAAAACAATTCTATCGATATTTATGTTTTTATTGTCTATGTAGTTGCAAATTCTGAATATACCTGATGATGACTATTTAAGTAATAGTCGAAACGCGTCGTATTAAGCTTTGAATTTGCTTTAAAAAATTTATTGAGATTATAACACACCCTCAAGATTTGGTCAAATCTTAGAATAATTTATTAAATTCGGTTAAAAGTTGCAAGATACTTCACAATTTACTTAAATTTATCAAAATATCTTAAAAATTGGCCAAATATCATTAAAATTCGTCAAAATAGTTAAAATTTATCGAAATGTTTCAAAATTTGGATGAACGTCTTCAAAATATTCAAAATATTTCAAAGTTTGGTCAAATTCGGTTAAAATTTATCAGAATAGTTCAGAATTTGGTCAAATTCGGTTAAAAATTATCAAAATAGCTCAAAATTTGGTTAAAATTTGTCTAAATATTCCAAGATTTAGTTAAAAACTACCAAAATATTCCAAATTTGCTTAAAATTTAAAAGGACTTAGCAAAACTTGTCAGGATATTTCAAAATCTGGTAAAAATTTATCAAGAATAGTTCAATATCGTCAAAATATTACTTAACTTGCCTAAATTTTAAGTTATTATAACTTTCATTTTCATCTATTTTTCACTTCCATCTCCGTCTACATCCTTTAATTGTCCTCTCCATTTTCATTTTTTCATTTTCCAAATGTATTTCCCATTCTTCTGTTTTATTTTTCGTTTTTTCTATGCATCGTGCCCTGAAGAGTGTTTAAATTTCAATAAAATAACACGAAACGCGTCGGCAAATTGAACTCTGCATTATTATTTGATTTTCAAGCACAATAACTACTACTTCTCTATTGAATTCGACTGAAAAATCGATTGCTGAAAAGCAAGAGTTGAGAATAGCAGATTGATTTTGTCTTTTGTTCAAAAGATAGATTGATCTGTTTATCGATTGAGTCGCAATCGAAGTCAATCTGTTTTTTGCAGAATTGGAATAGAAGTTGGATAAGAATATTTTGAAAAGTTTTTTGTTTATTTCTTATGTAACATTTTTTGATTAGAATGATAATGTCAAGTAAATAAATTTGTCAGTTCAATATTAGAGAACTGCACGAAATTGTGACATCTAATTCCGATTTCCCTTCAGTCGAAATTGGAGTTTGGTGTCTCGCCCAGCTAGCTATCGTACACTAAGCTGTCGCTGATTTATGAACAAAACAATTTTCGATGTTGGAATTATTTTCGAAAATAAAATCAGAATCGGAGAGAAAAACTGCGGTCGCATGTGCCTAGCATCAATTGCTCTAACTCATCCACGCTAAATGTTAAAAATGGAGAATCAACAACACAAAATGACAAAGGATTTTCAGTGTATCAATATACTCCATATGTGCATAGGCGACAAAAATATATTACACTATTACCATTAATAGAATTTCCGTGACTCACGGTCACGGTCACGGCCGTGACCGTGAATGACCGTGACCAAAAAAAGCTGGTCACGCCGGCCTCTAGTCACCGCCCCGCTCCGTCAAGTTTTTGCACTGTCTCGCCAGCGGAATGGGACGGGGCGGGGCGGTGCGGTTTCACACCGCGGCTCGTCCATCTCTGTTCTGTACAATAAATAGCAATGAAATATTATTACCGATATATATCGTATGAAATTGTTATAAGTATAAACAACTTGCTGAAAGAATAAGAAAGGGCGAGGAATAGTTGAATAACTCGATTTCGTTTTATTTTCTGCTTGAAATATACATTATGTCATCGATATATAAGCTTAATAGATATGTTCTCCTTCTCGCATGTGTCAGTTACTCAATGCTTGATTGATTGATGTAGGTCTTTAAGATTAACAAGAGAAATAAGCTTCATTGTCCAGATGTTATCTAAATGATCTCTAATTTCACATTTTCAAAACTATAGTTTGCTTTGTTTGTATTATACAGCTGTTCAATTGCTTGAAGATATTGATCATGAAGTTGATCGATATCTATTTGAGATGGATCAATGATTTGATTGACATGAATCGGTTTACCAACTAATAGAATAAAATCATTTTTTTCCATCGAATCCAATTGGAAAGAAAGTTTTATCTTACCAACGGTCGTTACAGGATGACGAAGAGGTAAATAACCAACGATTGATCGTCCCCAAATCCATCGATTTGAAATCCAATTCTTATATTGTCGATAATGTTCATTTTCTCCAAATGTTATAACCGGTACTAATGATGCACTAATAAACAAAACTTCTTCTTTTCTATTCATTCTAATTACATATTCACTAACCCATTTTCCAATGCTAATCGTATAAAACCTTTCCTCTTTTTTAAATAGAATATCATCCTTTGATATTCTGTTAAATACAATTCTTTCATACCACCAGTCACAATTACAACAGCATTACCTTGAGCAGATGAACCGTTTAAGAAATATTGACAACTCTCTCGTGAGACAGAACATTCACCTAGAATAACAAAACATTCGATGATGGGTTTATAATGTTATTCTTACCCAAGCCAAGAAATAATTCACGTAAAACTGGATAGGAAAAATTGGAATGAAGACCCATCAAATGAGGACGAATACCAGGAAATACAGTTGAAAAATGTGTTGCTTCTGTTAGGAAATTGATCCCAGCACCGACAGTTGCTGCACCATGTGGATGATAACCAAAGATATAATTTCGATTTGGATCAAGATCTTCAGTTTTGATTAATTTTATTGGAAAATAATTAGAAACTATTGACCAAATAGATAATCGACGTAAACGATCCGACCATCGCCCTCCTCGAACAGGGGTATAGCGATCAATATACATCCAACTACCATAAATCAAAGCAATGAGTAATGTCAGTGGTAAAGACCAGAAATAGGATAAGAGAATAAATGTGAACAATATCATAAAAGGTGACAAAATTATGAGTGTAATAAGAAAGAATAAAACCAAATCTTCAATCAAATTCTTCATTATTATCTAAAATCAATTTTTCAAAAGACTAAAAAAAATCATAAAAAAATAAACGTTATTCACAATGGAAGTGTATAGTTTAGGGGTGGTACTTTAACTTTACTGTAAAAGTTAAAGTTAAAGTGCCCCACCTCGATTATGAACAGCTTGTGCGCGATGATTTTTCACAGACGTTTGCTATGTTAAACATAATACACCATGCTCTCGTGCAAAATCACAAATCAGAAGATCAACAATATCTTAACCTTGATATGATTGATCAACATAAGGATCTTCCATTACAGCTGGACGACCACCTTTTTATGTGAACCAAGACCAGAAAACTGTAGCAAAACCAACAGTTTTTCCATCTTGAACATGACAAAAAAGTCATTGGTATTCCTCCTTTTTTTGGATTTGTAATTAAGGCTCGAGATACTGATAAAATTCACAATAATCTTGTAATAATGGTAATGAATCGACTGGATCATTTTCATTGACAATATTTATCTTCTAAAGAGTATCTTCGTTGCAAGTCGTCGCCATTTTTGATAAAAAGAAGTCTTGTTTGTTTTTTTTCTGTCCTTATCTAAATATGAATAGTCGATAAGAGTCGTATGATATCAGTTAACGAAAGATGTCCTCAATTACCATGCATGGAGGATCTGCAGAATTCTTAACAATAGAAATCAGAATTCTACTCGATTAAGCAGAATTGATAGTTAGTTATTTTCTTTACTGTTCGACTGGAACTTGTTTAACAGAATTTTATCAAAATTCTACGCACCATTTTATCCTACATCGATAAGAATTCTGCAACGACATTAAAACCTTCAGCAGAATTATTTATTGAGTGTGAATTCTCTAGTTATTGTATATGCTGTTAGGCCATCCCATGAGTTTAAATTGTAAGTCAAACGAAGTCGTGTGCAGTAAATATGTTCAATGAGTTTTTGTTGTACGTATGTATAAAAAAAAACCAACATGAAAATAGCCAGATTATGTGTGGTAAAGCTGAGGGTGAGGGTGAGTTCTCTGTTGTAGTGATTCCAAAGCAACACACGAAGCGTTTCGACTATTGCTCAGATAGTCATCATCAGGCATGTTTAGGAACCGTGATTACATTATCAAAGTTATGAAAAGACTCCACAAAATGCAACGAATATGATAATAGAAGAGTCAATAAAGGCTCTTCACAAATCAAAAGTCGAAACAATTCAGGATTCAATCCAAGACTCCGGTTATATCGTAATCCATCACTTGTAGATGGTAAGTTCTCTGTTGTAGTGATTCCAAAGCAGCACACGGTGTGTTTCGACTATTGCTCAAACAGTGATTGGGGAGCATGTTTTTGAATCAAATCTACGTTTAAGTCAAGGAAAAAGTCAACAAAATTTAAAGAAAATCGTGAATGAAGTAGAAATGAAAGGTAGTGTGCTTAAATTTGTAGGATGTGAAGATCGTAGTCAGGTGTTTTGTGGATAATCGTGGAGGCTTTGTTCTAAAATACGACACTGTTGTTGTTCTGGATTCACTGTCTCCAATTGCTGTTGGATGTTGTCTGTCTCTAATTCATGAATCTGGCGTATTTTTTTTAATTGATCGATAATTGTTGTATAGGAGGATGTGGTTGCTTGGCTGTCCATTCTGTCCAGTTGTGCTTGTTCCCATTCCTCACGCAAGCACATATTTTCTAGTCTTCTCTATTCTCCATAGTTTTCTGCTTCATCGAGTCGTTGCATCTCTTCTATTTCTTCTTGTTGTATTGCCAATAGCTGCAGGTCAACAAAGCCTTCAAGGTGATTCAGCATATCTTGATTCCATCGCTCTTCGGGATCCATTTTCTCGTAATCGTAGACATCCAATAGCTGATCCTGAATCGTCTCTTCCCAACCTTCGTCGAAATCAGGCAATCGACTTCGAATATATTCTTCATGTTGTCGTTCTTCAGCGGCTCGTTGAAAATAGTCATATGAACGGTGATATCGTGGATACAATGAATAGCCAAAGCGCTGATTTATTTGCTGTTCACGATGAGCGTTCTCTGCTGCCCGTTGCTGCCGACGCTCTCGTTCAATCTCAGCTGGCCGTTCGGCTTGCTGTTGCCGCTGTCGTTCTATGTCAGCTTGCCGTGCTGCTTGTTGTTGCAATCTTTGTTCTCGCCGACGTTG